ATATCAAGCGAGTCGAGTGCCAAAGGCGCGAGCAATGTAGGGGGGTCCGGGGGCATTCTCCCCCGGGAAATGTTGGATTTTCAAACCTTCAATGACGCATTTTCCAGCACTTTGAAAGTCAAAATTAGGCGTAACGAAGAATTATTCTTTATCGCTTAACGCTGAATTCAGGATGACAAATAACGTTTTACGTTGAATTAAAACGACCAATAACGCTTCACGATGAATATACCGATAACGCTTAACGTTGAATTAGAGCGGGCCGGCAACGATTAACGGTGAATTAAAATAGCCCATAACGGTTCACGAAAAAGGGCATGCAGGCCCTCTTAAAAGCCAGTACAGTATATCTAAGAAACATTCCTTATCAGTTTGTAGGAGTTGAGATGTTAGCATTCCTGGGTTTCTGTGTTCCCCTGGGTGTTGGCACAGCAGATGAGAAGGCAGGACTGTGTTTGTTTAGTAAACACCATCCCCTTGTTAATTAACGAGCCTGCTAATAGGGACTGGCTCATTTCGTATCCCGGGTGGTGGTGGTTTGAAATTAATACCACCCACTTTTGATTAACATTCAATGCCATCTCCTAACAGAGTCATGCACCTACTTAGTTCAGTTCCTAGAAATCGTTGTTAATGGCCTTGCATTGTACAAACTCATTAAAGATAAAAAAGGAAATGTTAACAACGTTCCCATCACTTGGACGTCACTTGGCCATGATTAAAAGGAGGAGGCAGAAAAATGATGGTTGCACAAAATTGGTATGTGTCAAGTAGTTGTTTGTAAGTCTTGCAAGACCGTAAATTTAGTAGAGTTTCTACACAGTGTAATCAACAATGTACTTAACGTTTGTTTAGCTGAATTTCAGTATGCCTAATGGATTAAAAGAAGCCAACAAGGATAAAGATATACATTAAGTCAAACCAATAATACCAGGCTGAAGAAGGGTTTCTTGTAAATTGAAATTCTTGTCACTGATGACTTTTCAACACAGATCTCAAGTTTCTGAAGTGAGATGACCTTCCCCACTTCATGAAGGTCACACAGCTCCAATGACGTAAATCGCTTCACAAGTCGGCAGGTGGAAGATATCCCAGAATGCCGAGGGAATGACTGTCGCTTTTAAGCACTTCAGGAATCCTTAGACCACCGCAGTTGCTTGACCTTTGAACCAGATTTCGACCCTCCGTACATTAAAGTTCTGTTTGTATGATTAAGGCATCTGATTCAAACAATTTGTGTCTTGCATTTTCATGAAAGAAACATTTGTCAATGTTAATTGATGGATGAAAAACAAACTTGGAAATGTCTGTGACAATTAAAAGATGTGAAACCATAAAAGACGTATACTAATATTCAGGATACATTATACTATCCTTGCTTTAATAAACAAAATGAACTTACAACTTTGGCTTAAGAAAAAATAGGCTTGGCCTTTTTGATGTGCGGTTAAATAAATTCATTTGCAAGTCATAAAATATCTCATTTTTCTTTCTGACATGTGAAATATTGGCAAAACATTAGTCATAAATTCTGAAATTATCTTAAATACAGTGTACACTGAAGATGGGCACAGTTATAGTGCAAAGCATTTTCACAGAGCCATTTGACTTCATCCCTGGCTAGCCTGACTACACCACACCATGATAACTTAGCAGCCCTTCCACTGGTCAGGCTCTATCAACCTAGCCTCCATAGCATGTCAAAAACTGGGGGTTTTGGGGGGATCTTCATAGTCTTTGGGAGCTTTTATGTGGTATTTTCTGATTGCATATAAACAACATAGCCGGCCTGGTTGAATTACCCCCGTTTTTTAGAACTGGGCTAATCAGAAAACAGCCGAAGACCACCAAACCCCCAGTTCTATAAGCCTGCTACGGAGGCTAATCAGAAAACAGACGAAGACCACCAAACCCCCAGTTCTATAAGCCTGCTACGGAGGCTAATCAGAAAACAGCCGAAGACCACCAAACCCCCAGTTCTATAAGCCTGCTACGGAGGCTAATCAGAAAACAGCCAAAGACCACCAAACCCCCAGTTCTATAAGCCTGCTACCTACTATCAGGCCATGACAGCAAGAGATTGGGTAACACCTACTAATGTCATGTCATGATCCTCAGGGGAAACTCTGAACACTGTATGTTATTCTAGTAAAGCCCAGAGGTCAGTTGTGGTGTGAGCACTCCTGTAGCTGACTGTACAAACAAACACAGGTAACCTGGAGTGGACACATGTTACATGCTCAGGTCTCCTTTCTATACTAGAAGAACATGGGCTGGAAATAACATGCACCACTTAGGCCATACCACTGGAGACTGTTGCTCTCTACAAACAAACACACTCAGGTAGCCCAGCACGTCGGCAGAACGTACTGCACCTGCGCGAAACCCGTAATGTATTGTACATAGCATTTCGGCATAATGTCTCATATAAGGTTGTATTCGCTCATATAAGGTTAGCATTTCGATAGTAGTTTCCAAATGTTGTGTCGGAAAGAATATCCTCTGCAAAAGGCAAAATTCTGATGCAACGTTGACCAAAAACCCGACGAAAAACGCGAAAATACGGGGTTCTGCACAGGCGCAGTACGTTCTGCCGACGTGCTAGGTAGCCCCAAGTTTCAAGTGGACACATGTTACATGCTCAGGTCTCCATTCTATACTAGAAGAACATGGGCTGTGAAGGCACTTAGGCCCTACCAGGGAGACTGGTGCTCTCTACAAACAAACACACTCAGGTAGCCCCAGGTTTCAAGTGGACACATGTTGGAGAACATGGTCTGGAAATAAAAGGCAGCCTAAAGCCACACCAATTTGATTTGTTGGTTCTCGGATTTTTTCAGAAAGAATATGAAGCGACAGGGTGAAAAAATGCTATGATAGGAGCCATGAAGTCAACACAAAAGGCTGGGTTAATATGTTAACAATGAATTTTAAACTTTTAATCAAACCACCGCATTGATAGACGGGAAAACTGTAACAACTAGGAAGAAAAGGACTTTCCCTAACCGTTGGGGGCAAAATATGAGCATATTTGAGTTGATTCAGAACAAGTACCTTTTTGCAAATCAGAATAAAAATGAAGAGGCAAATCCAAAAACCAACAAATTAAATTGGTGTGGCCTTAGGCGGCTATTTACACTCTACATGTACCATTAACTAAGATAAAGCAATTTGCTGGTGTTAGTGATACAGTTTGTATCTCCACAGAAGCTCAGAGCTTTTAAAGCTAGCCGGAAATGGTTGGTCCAGTTTAGCTGATAACTACTGATAATCTAACCTTGAATTCTGGCCACTTAATTGTTACATAGATGGCCTAGATCGTAGATCTTCTGGTATTTCTCCCGTTGTTATCATCTGATAGAATTTGATGACAAGAAAGCAAATTAGGGATCTGTCTTGTTTTATCTTAGATAAGGGTCAAGATTGCGTGGTACATGTCACTTAAGTTCACTTTCTATTTCTATTTGAAAACAATCTTTGAACTACATCAGATTAAGTTGTCTCTGAAACTGTTTTGACTGTTATTGATCCAAAGCAATATTTCTTTCTTGATTCTTTCTCTCTCTCTCACACACACACACACACACACACACACACACACACACACACACACACACACACACACACTCAATGTACATTATTAATGACAACATAAAAATTACTTAAGGGCTATTTTCAACCTGTATCAATCTGACAGCTCAGTTGGAGGAATTTCAACAAAAGTTGAAATTGTTGATATTGCTGGCAAGCACAAAATGGATGTCATATAGTTGTGGCTAAATATTAAGTCTGTGCGCCTTGTCTTGGATTTCTAAGATGCTCCACCTTGACCACTGCTGCGTCCTTGCTTGTTGTCATGGTTACACAACATTTTTCCTTGTCTTGTTGACAAGTTCGGAGATGTTGGGCCTTCTGAAGGCCAGGAAACGTCAGTTTGATCCTTGAGTTTGACCGACTTGGCCTGGAATGTGCTGACTCTGTGTAACACACATATAGGATAAATATAGAACACAACACGGGGTATTCCGTATCGCCCGAGGTATCGGCCCGACTCGCGGGAGGGCCGGGACCGAGGGCGATGCGGAATACACCGTGTTGTATTTTATTTATGTCATACCCACCCAAGAAAACACGCCTTTCAATGCAAGATGAGCCAAAAGTTGTAGCCACTAAACCCTAAAATGCAACAACATCAATTCCAACGTCCGGATTCTGTATTCAAATTTTTGAAAGGGGCACAAGCGGGTAGGGCGAAACGCGTTCAAATCGTTTTATGGGAGCCATGGAAGCGTTCGATAACGGGTTCCGGACCGGGCCGTACCGTAAAGTACCGCCCGGTCCCGAACCCGTTATTGAACGTTATCGCGGCCCGGGTATGATATAATGTAGGTTATATGTGGGTCAAATCCTTGGCTTTGGCCAGTCTTATACAAGTTCACAGTTCAGCCAGGTTGTACTGTTACATGGCATTTTGATATTAAGTTAAAGTAATTTAGTGTAATTTATGTAATTTTGATTAAATATTAGAATTCTATGGTGTCTTTTATATACAAGTTCACTGTCAGGACAGTTGGATATATGATAAACTATCTTTAAGTTGATTATTATACATTAATTATGGGAAAAGTTTTGTAAATTGAATTGTTGGAAGCAGAATGAAACAGGTATGACATTGTCTGGTTTTGTTTTGATAATCTCTATTGGTATTTCAAAACAACGAATGTAATTAAAGAAATGTATGTCGATATGATACTTGTTAGAATCAGCACATCCATTAGAATAAAAAGTTAAAGTTTGAATTGATGAAGAGTTTTACTATAGTATCATGATATTATTATTAATGATATTTTTTCCTGATATTACAGTCGCTACAAAATATATGACATTGTCTCTATAGGTATTTTGCATCAACAATGTAATAAAATGAATAATATGATATTGCCCCAACACAGGAAAGTTAAACTTTTACAGTAATTCATTTTTTTCCTGTGATGTTCCAGTCGTTACAAGACATCCAGCTGAGAATAGCAGACGCCATGCCGGGGTTACTCGAGGTCGGACGGAGCTTGGAGGAGGCAAAACGCCTCAAGAAGCAACACGAAGACTTAATGGGAAAACTTAAGGTGAGGCCCTCTCTTTCTTATTGTCCTCAACATACGTCAATGAAGTGTGACTGGTTTATTGAACTTCCAAAAGGTACGGTATTGCAGAAGCTCTTGACAGGGAAACTTAATTGCATCAATCTTTCACAAAAAGTACAGCTACTTTGACCACTAGCGCACTAAAATCACAAACAACATGAAATCACTTACCACATGTAAAATGCAACATAAGGCCACACCAATTTAATTTCTTGGTTCTCGGATTCGCCTCTTCGTTTTTTCTGATTTGCAACAAAAAAAAATTTGATTCTGGTCCTGAATCAACTGAAAAATGCTCGTGTTTTGCCCCCAACAGTTGAGGAAAGTCCTTTTCTTCCTAGTTGTTACAGTTTTCCCATCTATCATTGCAGTGGTTTGATTAAAAGTTCACAATTCAATGTTTAAATTCCAACCCAGCCTTTTGTGTTGACTTCATGGCTCATTCCATAGCATTTAATCCTGTAATAGGATGCCTAGACCTGTTTTTATTTTTATTTTTTTTTTCGCCCTGTCGCTTCATATTTTTTCTGAAAAAATCAGAGAACCAACAAATTAAATTGGTGTGGCCTAAGGTTAGACATCCAGGTTATGATGCAGAAGAAAACAGTTTCTCAAGCAACAGGATAGAATTTGAAAACTTTCAGACATTTCAAGTAGCATCCACTACTTTTCGTCAGAAACTAACCCAAGCAGTTACTGATGAAAAGTAGTGGATGCTATATAAAGTGAAACCAGTGGTAAGCTAGGCATGCAAATAAGAGCAAGGCTCACTTTAGACTAGAAACGGTTTACCACTACATTTCCTAAAAACCCATAAAATACCGTTTTTTCCCATTTAGACCGGAAACGGTTTGTCCAATGGAAACAGTTTTCCACCCCAAAACCCATGCAGTATTAATTTAAAAGCATTTCTAGTCTAAAGTGAGCCTTAAAATGCTAAAATCTATCTCAGTCTGTCAGCTTCAGTAGCAAGTATATGCATGCTATAGGAGTGACAACACTGCTATGATTGGAACTCGTACCCCTCTGCATGGTCCATTGACAGGGTCACTCAGTACTGTATATCACCACCACTAATTAAAGTTGAAAAGTCACAGCTTGGTTGCACCATGTTCCCTGGTAGTGTCGTGAGGCTGGATCGTGTTGTTTGTGAAACAAGCTTGTGGAAACTGATCTGTGGCATTATGGCTCACCCCTGTACAAACCTCAGGCACAATTTGTGTAATCTCCAAGCAGATCCCTTTCGGTGGCAAAAGACAGTATCAAATTGGCCAGGCAGTATCCATTAGCCAGAGAAGGTTGGTGGGGGTAGCGACAAAAAAAACCGGCCATATATAAAAAGGTAACGATCATTCCCCCACAACCTCTGCTTGGAGAGTACAATTTGTGGTCTTCTGCTCTTCCTGCTGTTCCATCTCAGCTTGAAGGCAACACGGAATTGAGCTTTTTGATACTATCGTATTCAGAAAAAGGACTATGAGCTGAATCTTAGTGATGTCTGGCATTATTGCTCACCCTTGTACAAACCTCAGCCACAATTTGTGGTCTTCTGTTCCTGCTGTTCGATCTCAGCTTTAAGGCCCCACAGATACGATTTTAATGGATACTGTTCCATTAAAAAAAGACAATGAGCTGCATCTAGTCATTGTAATATTCAATATGATGTTAGGCGTATCTTTGTAAAAAAATTTACCTAATCTCCAGATCTTTTGGTGGCTACAAGACAGTATCAAATTGACATAATCAATTGTAATTAAAATTGACAAGGTACATGTATTCAGTTTGGCTGGTAAAAAAGATGTTCAGTTTAACTGGGGAAAAAAGAAAGATACCCATACAAAAAGAAAACAAAATGCCCAAAGAAATGTAAAAAATAAGCTAAACTCCAAACCTCTGCTTGGAGGGCCCTAAATCCCCTGCCACACTTCTCCACTTGCCTGTCCTCCTCACACCAAACTGTGATGTGTACCCGCTGCAAACCTTTCCTAATTTAGTCCTACCCTGTTTACTCGTTTCCCTGCATTAGTGGATAGATTTAGACGCGAGGTATGGAAACGGTTTCCAAAATTCCTCAGCCTGCAAAAGGCAGTGGTTTTGGACTTGGAAAAAGGCCAAGATTCACAATTTTCTTTTCTCAGGCTTTGTCGTAAGTTGTTACAGTTTCTTAAACTGGTAGCGGTGCATGAACAAGAAAGGTATGCACACTGTGTCTACATGTACATCTACTTTATTTGCACTCAAGGATGCCACTTAAAAATTTTACATTTGCAAGCAATGTCCTATGATATATTTCTTTTAAAAAATGCTCTCTACTGTCTAAAATTCAGGAGATTTGCTTAATTAGGATTTGTTTACATGTGCCTTGGTGGCAGTGAACACAAAAAGATGGTCACAAGTTTTATGAAGGTTTTAGATACTTTTTTTTACGTACCCTGTAGTTGACTTCTCTGATGTTGACTCTACTGAGTCCTATTTCACAGCCTCGTATATTTAACACTATGATGTGAAGTAAAGAGAATACCTCAGTTGTCCAGTAATGGGCCAAGGTTTGCCAACTGCGTTTTGACTTGCTTTGCGAGACACGGTCACGACCAAATTTTACGAAGGTAGGCCTGTGTGCTTTAGTTCTAATGTTAGACGTTGAAACTGGGATTGTGGTGAAATTATAGTACTAGGGCAATAGGAGTAACTTGTTGTCATATTGAGCATTCAAATGATAATATAGAATGAGCTGCTTGCTCTGTGGCTAAGTTGTTTTGCAGGATCTGGCCTTGTCTTTCAGCTACTAGACAGCTTGTTTATATACAGTGTATTTGTGTGTTTTTGGGTGCAATTTTCAGTTGATCACATACTTTCTTCAGGTTGATTTTGAAACAGAAAAAGTCTTACATGATAAAGGCAACACCAATTCAATTTGTTGGTTCAATGCTCAACTGGGTAAAAACCCGCACACTAACTGTGATTTTGTTTTCTTTTCAAAACTGTTTACTGTAAATGTTGATCATCTTAAGTTTGTAAATATTCTGCCACTATTATGTCTACTGGTAACTGCAATGAAAACAGTGCCGTCAATGTCGTCTAAGCAGATAAGTATTGCTCCAAGTGTGGACTATGGTTCATTTGTTGTTGTTTACCTGTTTAGGGTAAACAAGGACACGTAAACGAGCTGTTGCACCAGGCAGACAACGTGGTCATCAATAAGGAGCCTGACCTGGACGTTTACGAAGCCATGGCCGAGTCACTCGGTAAGTTCAAGTCTTCGAATCTACAATTAAAAGAGTGGAAAGATGGGTAGGCAATGGAGAAGATAGGAGGATAATACATCTGAGAGAATGGACAATCTTGACACTAAGTGAAACACTGAGAAGAACTGAAAACTGAGAAAGTTGGAAAGTTATCAGATTTTCAGAATAAGGGATTTTGTCCAACTCAAAAATAATTTGTTCTGGTTTAGCAAAAATCCTTCTTCAGAATACTTTTGAATACCAATAAGTTGATGAAAAGGTGTACACTTCTAACTACAATCTATAGTTATCCTGTGTGCAGACTGGATAACTTTAAGCCTAGTGTGCTGTGGGTCTGGCACCCAGGCTATAGATTCTTAAGAAGTGAACTGAAATGGTGTCCTGTTTTGTTCCAGGTGAGGCTTGGAAGGACCTGAATGCTCAGCTGGAGGATAGAAGACTTTTGCTTGATGCTGCCATACTCTTCCACGAAAGTGTTAAACAGGCAAGAAAACTTACACAAATAATGGATAAAATTATTCTTTGATTGAACCCCATTTTGACTGCATCTAACTAGTGTTTTTGTTACTTTTTTTACTTTTTCTTAAAATTTCTTATGTAACAACTGATGATGCAAATTCTGTATTTTTACTGATGATGCAGTCAACTACATTTGTAGTAATGATTGATGTACTTGATGGTTCTCTGCATCTGTTTTGACTGTACTGACATGTTGTTTCCCCCAGTTCACAGACAAGTTGAATGTTGCCCACCGGCTGTTTAGTCCGCTCACACTGCCGCAGGATGTGGACATCATCAGGATGCAGCTGCAGAAACACCATCAGACCAAAAAAGGTGGGAACACACTAACAAAACACCTGCAGTACAGTAGCTAGTCACTAGGGGGATATGGGTTGATACCGAACCCCAGAGGGGGAGTGACTGAATCTTACTGTTGGTGTTTTTCTAAAACAATGATGGCATTGCTGGAAATCCTGGAAAACATCTAGGTAAACAATGAACCAAGAACACCTGGTTCTGGAGTTCACACATACAAAATTTCCCGTCACTAGAAAATTCTGGGGACTTCCATGGAGACGAGGGCCCATGTTATGGAGTTCTACAAAGAGTTTCCTTTTTTTGTCTGTAGAAATTCTGGAGGCCTCTATGGAGACGATGAACCGAGGACAGGTGTTGCTTGACCGTATGCAGGACATGGGATCTCACCTGGACAGCAAGCACGCCACGACCGCCGCGTGTTACGGCGTGGAACACATGCTGGAGAACCTGCACGACAGACGCAGGCACATGGAGGAGGTCTGGGCACTGCAGAAACTCAGGCTGGAGAAGTCACTGCAGCTCTGTATATGGAAACAGGAGGTCAACGATGTAAGTCGTGGGGTGTTTCCTTGTGTTTACTGGTTGCTGGATGATTGGTTGGTTGGTTGGATGGTTTTGAATTATCATCATTATCAGTCTGTACTTAGCTTATTAGTGCATTTTTCATTGCTTCCCTAACTCCCTGTCCATACTTCAGGTGACAGCCTTCTACAAGAGCCAGGGTGAGAGCTACATGAACGCTAGTAACCTGGGAGAGAATGCCCCGGCCACACAGATACTCATCGACCTGCACAGAGAAATCACAGACAAGGCCAAGGTTTGGGCACTGCTCAGTCTGCTGTTGTCTGTCTGTTTGTTGTCTTTCCTTACTTGATTTTGCAAACTGTTTACAGAAGAACAGAATTTACACAGTAGAGGGCTTTTCTAAAAGTTAGAACTTGCTGCTAGTGTTAAAGGTATTGCTGCCATAGTCACCAAGCTTGCTGAAGCTGTCCAGCAGATCCCCAAATGTTCTCTGACTGTTTCTCCAGCCGATGTACGACCAGGTGAAGAGACTGCTGCGGGTGGCGGAGAGTTTCATCGTGGGGGGTCACTACGACTCGCCCACCATCCAGTCCATGGCAGGAAACCTGCATGTGCAGTGGGAGACCTTCATGGACAGACTGGACAGAAGAACCAAGTACCTACAGATGGCATTCGACTTCTACACTCGGGCAGGGGAGGTAAGGCAATCTTCTTTCTTTAAGATGCTTCTAGTTATTACATTGCCTGATGATTGGTGGCTTTTTTCCCCACTCTTCAAGCAGCATAGACCCCCAAAATGTGCCAAGTGTAAACTGCTGTGAGTTACTAACATTCAATGAAAGTAGTAGTTCAGGAGTATATAAACAATCCTAATTTTCCTGAGTAAGGATTTGCTAAATTGATTGCAGGGTGAAGAGTTATGATGCTATAACAAGAAAATGTTGATCATATTTTCCAAGATGACAGAGTCTTTCTGAATCCATTTATCCATTTACATTATTCTGTGTCCATTTATGCCTCAAGGAAAACTCCTGCAAGCTCTTGATACAGATTTGCACACAGGCAAAGGCTTTTCTGTTGTAGCCTACGACTTTCCCTGTCATTCTTTGACAAAGTCAACTTGTTCTTCATATGTTTTCCAGGCTGTGAAGAAGCTAGAGCAGATTGACATGCAGCTGTCAGCACACTCCCGGCAGGTGGAGTCCACGGCTAAACTGGTGATGCTGCACGCTCGCTTCGCTCCATACAAGTCTAACCTTCACCAATATGCTCATGTTCTCTTCCTTCTTTCCAGGCTGTGAAGAGGCTAGAGCAGATTGACATGCAGCTGTCAGCACACTCCCGGCAGGCAGAGTCCACGGCCAAGCTCGCCATGCTGCACGCTTCGCTCGCTCAGGAGATCCTTGAGACCGTCTCACCCCCGCTCCACGATGGGTACATCCTCATCGACCTGATTGGTCGAGGGAAGCCGCAGCTCGCAGGCATAGAGCAGAAGGTGATGTAGGATTTATATGTAAACATAGAAAAGAAGAAGAAATACCATGCCTTCAAGTACCAGATTTATCAGCCAAGGATTATTTATGACAATTTACCACATTTGTTTATTGGATGGGGGTTGGGGTGTTCGAAACTCATTTCTTCCCAGAACTTCCATTAACTGATACTCAATGCCAACTCGTTTAATGACTTCAAACAGCATTTACAGTTAAATGTTCAAAGGTTAGGTGTAACAGGTATAACATAGCATGTCTGCAAAGCTGAGCAGTTATACATTGTACAGGTATAGGATACATGTATAAATTTGTATCAGTCAACAAGTACAGCAACTGCAACTGCCTTAACAGAGGCATACAGTACTATTGGATGGACCAAATTTTGAATGAGTTTTCTTCCATTCCTCCCCAGGTGGATGAGCTGGAGGGTTGGAAGAAGGACCTGGAGGAGAGATGTCAGGCACACCTGGAGGACGCTCAGCAGAAGGGAGAAATGTTCCTGGTCTTTCAGGAGAGACATGCACATGTAAGGAAGGAGGGAGGGAAAGAAGGAGAGAGGGAGGGAGAAATGTTAGGGCAAAATGGAGGGCAAGAGGGAGAGAGGGAGGGGGAACGGACCTGGTGCCAGCACATGTAAGGAAGGAGGGAAGGAAAGAAGGGGGAAGGGAGAAATGTTCCTGGTTTTTCAGGAGAGACATGCACACGTAAGGAAGGAGGGAATGGAAGAAGGACGGGAGGGAGAGATGTTTAGTCAAGAGGGGGGGGAGAGGGAAAATGTTCCTGGTGTTTTAGGAGAGACATGCACACCTAAGATCTTCTTTCAATATGGCATGGCTTAGAATCAAAGTGTTAACTGTACTAATGTAGTTTAGTGAAAGACTAGTGCCTGGAGTCTTACACAGGGCTTTAAGAACAGCTGTCTCACCTGTTTCACATCTGTCTCACCTGCGTTACCTGTTTTCCCTCCCTACAGCTGTTCACCTGGCTGACAGGTGTGGTAGACACCTTTCTAGCCATGCATGCAGACATGGGCACCATCCTTCCAGCTGCCTTGGAGTTCCTGTCCAACCATGAGCGACTGGAGAAAGACATGAAGGCAAGTCCGGATTCCCTATGATCACCAAGAGTTATCAACCAAGGATTGAGGTAGTAAGTGCCTTTCACAAGGACACAACACTGGGGCCTGCCAGGGATTCAAACCCAGAACCCTAACTACAAGACCACCTTGCCAACAAGACATACCTTCTGTGTTCTCAATGATTTTTCTTTGGTTGATAGCTCTTGGTGTTATAAAGAGATGGTGTAGGTTGGAGCCCCCTAGCAGCTCTTTGGGACAGTGCAGAGACTAAGTTTGATTGCTCGAGCACAAATGTGATTCTGTCGACCTTCAAGGACAGAAAGTTGCAGCTGGACAAGGGCAAAACTCCAACACTGGGGCTGCTAGAAATTCAAAACCAGAACGTTTGATAATTCTGTTGTCTGATATTTAACAGTCTGTGACTGTGACTTAGTTTGTGACTTTATGATCTGGAATAAAACAGTCATTTTAAACTTTTTTAACCCTCGTAGGACCGTCTCAGGTGGACATAGTCCTGCAGGCTGTGACTCTGCAACTTTGTAATCTGATATTTAACAGTCATTTTTTAAATAGTTTAACCCTCCTAGGACCAAGATTCTCAGGTAGATATAGTCCTGCACGCTGTGGAGGAGTTTATGAAGACTATTTATGAAGTCTGTGACTCTGCACCTTTGTGATCTGAAAGTTAACAGTCTTTTTTTTTTATTT